TCAGAATGGTTCGAAAATGAATTCGTCCCAAGTATAATATCCTTTTTAAAATAAAAAAACCTTCCCATCAAAGCATTTTTGCTTGTTGACAATGCGCAAACTCGCCTTCAAAATCTAGGCAATACTGATAATTGTCAGATTTTTGCCACTGAATGTCACGAGCTAAATTCAGCTGTTAGACCAGGGAGTAATAGAGACATTCGAGAGACATTATAGAGGAGAATTCTTAAGACATCTGTTATTACAGGAAACGAATGAATCCAAAAGTGTTCCCGAAATTCTAAAATCTTCAACAATAAAACATGTTGTTTATCGGTGTGCTGAGTTCTGGGCCAAGATAAAATCTTCAACTTTGGGAAAATGCTGAAACTAACTTTTTGATAGGATTTTGATTGACGATCCTGATGATGAAAATGGCAAAGAAACGACAGAAGAAATTAAACCTTATGACGAAATTAACTAAGAAGAGATACGTGACTGATTAGCTGTCGATGACTCGGAAAGTGAATCAGGACATCATTGATATGGTTCTTCATCTAGACAACTTGAGCGTATCAGACGACGAAGATAATGACCCAACAGACAACAGGCAGCATGAGACCACCGACGAAATTTTCAATGCCTTATAGGTAAGAATTTTATACAGTAGGCCTAATTAGTTAGGGACACGACTAGGTTCTTAATTTTTGTTGTCATTGTATAAAGTTTTGTCCCTTTCAGATTGCTTTACGTTTCGTCGAACGATGGAATGAGGCAAACTCATGACGTTCTGCAAATGAACGATGGAGATATATAGCTGCAAAACATCGTTGTCAAAAGAAAACTCAAAAGAATATAGAAGATTTCTTTAAAAAAGCATGTTAAACTTGTTCATTTTCCTTAATTTGATTACTTTATTCTGTATTTACTTTTTAGAAAACATTACGAAATCACCTCCTAGTATTTTTTAATACCAATACTTTGACTAAGGATACTATAAAAAAATGTTATTTTTAACCGAAATTCTTGTTATCCGAAACGGCCTCCCCCAATTATTTCGGTTAACGGAGGTTTTACTGTATATGTCTCTCGATGTATATACATCAAAGACCATAGAAATGTATTGCATGATCCAAGAATTATTTATCATTCGTTGCCTCAGAGATCGGTACTTAGTCTTACATTATTTAATATTGTATTCTGCCAATATTCATTCACTTTTCTCTAATTCCATAAAATGTATCCAATATGCAGACGATATCTGTATATACTCTGTTCGATACTTATGATGCTTGCATTGAAGCAACGAAATAGGTATGACTCTGTCTGCAGAAAAGTGTTCTATTATGATTTTTACCCGGCATAGACTACGTGCCACGGGGAACCTTTCCCTGTGTGGGCGTACGCTGTCGGTAGTTGAGGAATATAAATATTTGGGTATCATACTTGACACAAAATTACTATGGTCCAGTCATATACGTTATGTAATAAGCAAATGCGAGAAAGTTTTTAATTTACTTAAGTGCATAACAAATCGAAGTTGGGGCGCAACCTCTTCTTCTTCGCGTGCCATATCAGAATTATCCGTCGTTGGTGATCACCATTACGAAAGCTTCTCGATCTTCTGCAGTATGGAATGATTGTCCTGCATTTGGTATCTGAGTCCATTCACGAATGTTTTTTAATCAAGAAACTTGTTTTCTTCCTACACCTCTACGGACCTCTATTTTGCCTTTAAGGATCAGTTGTAATATTTCATATTGACTTCTTACTATCTGTCCCAGATAAGACATTTTTCGATGTTTAACAGTCGTTAGCAGTTCTCTATCTTTGTTGACGCTCCTTAGTACTTCTTTATTAGTTTTCCTTGCTGTCCAAGATATCTTCACCATTCGTCTATGAACCCACATTTCCAATGCTTCAATTTTGTTCATGATCGATACTCTTAGCGTCCACTCTTCTGCACTATACAAAAGCTGCACATTTGCACACTGCACATTTTTATTCCCCAATTAAATAACCATGATATGTACAGGAGCTGTCGTTTCAATAAGACGGCGCAACATGTGACACAGCTCGTGCCACAATTGATTTATTGAAGGAAACGTTTGGTAACCGCATAGTTTCACGTTTTGTACCGTGAATTGGCCTCCAAGATCGTGCGATTTAACACTTATAGACATTTTATGTGGGGATATGTGAAGGTGCTAGCCTACGCCTATAAGCATGAATCGATTGACCACTTGAAGTGAAGGACAACATTAGCCGAATTATTGCCGATATACGGCTGAAAAAGCGATCGAAAATTGGACCTCCAGATTAGACCATGTCAGAGCCGGCCACGACGGTCATACACCAGAAATCATAAAGACAATTTCACGTCAATTGATAAAAATTATCTTTGTTTTATTCCATTTCAAAGTTATATACCAGGGGTGGCCAACCTTTTTAAGTCGAGTGCCAATATGAGAACAAAAAAAATTTGGCGTGCCACTAAAATTTTTCGACATACTAATATGGATACTATATATTAATAATATACGGTACAATATGTATTTCTTATGTAAATTCCACATTTTTCCGTTTAGTCAAGATAGTGGAGGTTTAAAAAATAACGTAATAAGTAAAACATAACAACAAACTTACTTTATTGTTAATAAAAATAAAATAAAAACGTTAAACAAAAAAACTTAAAATTTTCATATTATCTAAAATTCAAATTATTAAACAGTTACTTATTTAATGTGGTATTTGAACTTGTATTTTTTAATTAATTCATCTATATTGAGATTAATTTCGGAACTAGCCAACAGAATTAGATTTTTTAAATGCATGTCAGTTAATCGTGGCCGATATTTTGATTTTATTATGTTCATAATAGAGAACATTTGCTCACAAACGTGCGTTGAACCAAATCTAAACAATATCTCAGAGCTAACTCGTGTAAATTAGGAAAATTGTTTGCTGCTACAAATTTCCAAAATTCAATATAATTGGGATCAGTAACAGTTGAAATAATTTCCCTATATTTGGTTTTTAGTATAGTGTGGTTCTGTAAATCAATAATTTCGATCTGTATTTCAGCTGAGTAACAATTGATATCTTGCACAGAAATAGAAAAAGGATTTATGAAAAGGTCAACATTCATTTTGTCTTTTTGAAAATCTTCAAACTGGGTATTGAATGAACCTGGCAAAATAGATATAAGGTTGTTAAATCTGTCATAATTTGGAGTTCTACTGACCTTGTTGGCTAATTCCTGCATTAATGTGAAATGTGTCAATCTCTGTTCTCCAAAATCGTTACAAAAAAGCATAAGTTTCTTCACAAAAGAAGATATATGACCAACTAGAGTAGGAAAAATACAATTTTTAATGTAATCTTTTTTTACTGTAATCTTAAATTTAATAAATTTAAATGTCTCATAATATCAGTGAGAAAAGCTAAATCCCAAAGCCAATCTTTATCATTAAGTAACGAGCACTCACTGGGTAGTTCATTGTTTTCTTGCAAATGTTTTAAGACGCACTCCTTCAAGTTCCAAAACCTTTCGAGTGCATTTCCTTTGGAGAGCCAGCGCACACTGCAATGGAAAAGTAACTCTCCATCTTGCTCCGTTTCTTCTGCGAACAGTTCTCAAAATTGTCGTCGATTCAATGAACGAGCTGGTATTTTGTTAATGCAGCGTGTTACAGGGTCAACAACAGATGACATGTTTAGGTCCTTGGCACAAAGAGCTTCCTGGTGAATAATACAATGGTACTTAAAAACTTTTCTTCCCAAATAGTTTTCCAGTAATGTAACAAATCCCTTTAGTCTACCAACCATGCAAGGAGCTCCATCTGTAAAAACACTATCTAATTTTGACCATTTAACTTTGTTGACTTCGATTACGTTTTTAAGCTGTTGAAAAATGTCCTCTCCTGTTGTTGTGACTAGTTGGCGCAAATCCAGAAGCTCTTCGGCATTTTCAAAATTATCATTGGTATAACGGACAAAAATGCTTAACTGCGCATTTTCTGTGTTGTCACAACTTTCATCCAACGCTAAAGAAAAGAATTTGCAGGATTGTAATCCACTTATAATTTGGGAAACAACATCCTGGCCCATATCATCTATACGGCGCATGACTGTATTTCGGGATAATGCAATATTATCGACCATATTTTTGATCTTTACATCTCCCACATTTTTAGCAAATATTGCCAGACTATTTTTAATTATCTCCTCTCCATCGAGTAGGCTTTTTTCTTCCGGGCTAACAGCAGAGAAAGTTCATATGATGTTTTAACCATAGTTTCCATTTCATCACTTCTCTTCTGAAACAGTGACTGTTGGCTGGCTAGGGTTTTCTTTTTTTTTCAATAAAGTCGGCTCGCAAATGTGAACCAATAGGATATTTGTTGCTGAAGTCCTTATGCAGTTGTTTATAATGTCGTTCCAGGTTAAATTTTTTCGGAACTGCTACAGACAATCCACATATCAAACAAACAGGCTATGAAGTATTACGATTAGTAAATAAAAATTGTTCTTCCCAAGCAGGTTGAAAATCGCGAATTGCAATATCATCTTCGTATTTTCGTTTTGAAGTCGGCTTACTCGTGGACATATCGAACAAATACTTTTAAAATATTAAAGAAACAATGCGCGATGACAAAATGTGCACATACAACGGGGCAGTTTAAAATAAACTAAGCAAGGGTAACACAGTCCTATTGCACATTACGACAGCTAGGATCACGTGCACCAATCGCAGCAATATCGCTCGCCAGAGGATGCAATGATGCCGCATCTATCGTAACTTCCGTAATCCTACCAAGTTTCTTCTTATTATTTTTTGTTTTTCAAGTTTTAATTTTTTTGAAAGTTTGATCAGTTTGAAACTCAATCGTGCCACAGAGTGGCACGCGTGCCGCGGGTTGGCCATCCCTGTTATATACCTTTAAAAAACACACTTCTTTTATTACATAAAAATACAATTGCTTGTCAATTTTAATCACGATATTTTTTATTTGTTTCAGTTTAAATTTAGTACGGACGAATATGTACTTTTTAAGGCATGGCACTTTACGACTGCTGGCGGTCTTATAGGCTCTATGGTAGGAATAGCTATATTGGCAGCAATATACGAAGGTCTTAAATATTTTAGGTAAGTCTAACGCAGTAGGATTGAGTTAAAAACAAAGTTTTTTGTATATTATTAGAATGTAATCTTCTCTTAATAAAAGATAAGTAGTTTTATTCTAAGCTAAGATTAGAAAAAGGTAATAATAAAGGTAAATTTAAACACTACACTCTACTTTTGCGAATTATTTTTTTTTTGATTATACGAGCCCGTTCCCATACCTGTTATGACCTAACGTTAAATTGATAAGAAAATTAAATTTTAGAAAACAAAAATAAAAGCGCAGCGTAAATTTTAGAAGTTTTAATGCATCGAACAACATTTTTGAATTTCATAATTATAGAAAATATTTTATAACGTAATGAAAACTATTGATTAAACAGAATAATAATACATTTAAAAAACGCATAGAATATGTAATCTTAACAAAAAAAAAATGTAAAAGTTTACCACTGAGTTACATCTCCTTTATTTTTAATGACATCCACAATTCTTCAAGGTATAGTTTTTCCAAGCTTTGACAAAATTCTATTGTAAACGAACCTTGTATTTCCTTTTTCCATGTTTTCATTTAAAAATTTATACCTAGGCTATTGAGGAAATTAGTATAAAAACTAAGTGAATAAAGCTTTAAATTCATAATGAAAAAACCGTATTACTACTTGTCCTCCTATTGCACTAGCCCAGGGGTGCTCAAATTTGAACAGCTGGCGATCTACCTCAATATTTTTAGACTACTTACGATCGACTCTGAGAGACTGCAAGGTTTGGGTTAGGTTTAGTTAGGTTCTTCTCTACAATATCAATGAAAAAACTCATAGTTATTCAAAATTGCGAGTTTATTTGTTGTTACAAAACAAAAGAGTTACATAATGGTGTTAAACTTAACTAAGGAGTGGCTTTGGATGTTTAAGCGTGGCACTGCATGTCCTCAGCATACTTTTCATAAGATGGTACGTAACCACTGAGTGCTAATCGCAAGCATGATGTCATAAGATCGTCAGTTAGTCGATTGCGATATTTTGACTTAATTATCTTCATTTCAGAAAATGCAGACTCGCACAAGTAAGTTGACCCAAACAATGCCGTCAGTTGAAGGGCGATTTGCCTTACATTCGGATATTTATCTTCAGATATAAAACGCCAGAAATTTGTATCAGATACTGTAGCTTTGAGATTTATATCTGATATAATCTGCACCAACTCATTTTCAACAGAACATAATATAAAACTGACTTGCTATTTCAGTAGCTAATTCCTCAATGTTTTTACATGAAAAAGGATAACTCATATATGATGCTATATTTTCCAATTTACTGCAATTATAAAAACGCATTTCGAATTGTCCCAAAATATTTGATAATTCAGCCTCATACGTATCATAATTCAACTGAGGAATCCTTGCTTTCAAAGACGGAAAATGTTTCAGATCCTTTCTTTTCAGTTGATCTATCATAAGTTGCAATTTACTTTTGGATGCGTTTACTGCGCTAATCATCTCAATAATAGTTTTTCCTTTACCTTGAAGCTCCAAGCTAACGGTGTTTAAGTGCATTGTGATGTCAGTCAAAAATGCCAAATCATTTAGCCATTTTTCGTTTTTCAAAATCTGAGTGTCATCACCTCTTTCGTCTAGAAAAACTGTTATTTCGGACAATAATTCTTGAAACCTTTCTAGGAATTTTCCGCGACTCAACCACCTGACGTCCGTGTGAAGAACTAAATCAGTGTGTTCAGCTAACTCCCTATCTTCCAACTGCAACTGAAAGAGCCGCCGTTGCAAGCTACGTGCACGGATGGAATTCACAATTTTTGTTGCAGTGCCCATAATTTCCTCCGTGTTTAAAACTTTTGAACACAAAACTTGATGATGTATAATGCAATGGAATGAAAAAAATGAAGGGAATTGTTCATTAGCTCGACACAATGCCACAAAACCGTCACAATGCTCCATCGGTTGTAATGCACATTAATTTATATATTGGTAGCTCGTAGTTTTTTACAAAATTTAAGAAAACGTCATATATATCTTCGCCACGGGTCTTCCCCTTCAGAGGAATGATTGTCAAAAATTCTTCCTTAGCCAACATGTCATTGAATACCATCCGAATAAAAATACACAGCTGGGCAGTGTCTGTCATATCGATGGATTCGTCGAACTGTAAAGAAAAGTATGTACATTCCATGATATCATGTTTTAGTTTATCTGCGATGTCTTGACTCATGACTTCAATACGCCTTGTGACAGTCGGACGAGATAACTGAAGTTCTAATAGCAGACATGATTTCTGTTTTATTTTTAAAATCTCCAAATAAAGTCTCACCCGCTTCAATAAATGCTTCCTTCACCACCGATCCATCTTCAAATAGTTTCTTGTGTTTCGCCAAAATATGAGATATTTTAAATGACGCGATCGTAGCAGCTTTTGATTGTTTGGCTGGTCTTGTGAACATGGATTGTTCTTTTTTCAAACAAGATATCAAATCACTTACTTTTCGTTTTCTTAATTCACTCTGTGGCGGAAAATCCTTTTCATAGTTTTTATAAACCGTTTTACGATGCCTCTCTAAGTTACCACGCTTAGGTATTGCAACTGACGCACGACAAATAACACAAATGCACTTATCCTTCACCATAGAAAAGAAAAATTCTTCCTCCCAATCCTTATTAAAATGATACGTTTTAGATTTCTTCACTGCACTCATTTTCCACTATTTAATCATAAACTTTGTATCGACGTAGGATCGCTATCAAGTTACAATTCAGAATAAATCCAATTCCTGCAGGCGCAACATTTATATCGGCGTGAACGAAAGTCTCGAATGTTCCCGTCAAATGCGCCGCCCGAAACTAGACCGTACTACTGTCTCTCGTCTAGAAACAACACGGCTTTTCTTTGACAAGTGCCGCGCGTTCCTTTGATAAAGCCTCCTTTTGCCGCAAGCAGTGTTATTTTATTACGTAATACATTTTTGTAGTTGATAGAATACCATCGCAAATTTGGTTAATAATTATAATAAATATTGAATTAATAAAATAATTAGTTAATATATGTAAATATTAAATATGCTGTGTGGACAGTATTTTGTTGTCCCCACTTCTTTGAATTGCAATTATGCTTAGTCAAGCATTCTATGTATTTGTATAGTTCAGTATTAATAAAAACGTTTAACTCTGCTAACAAAAGTTTAGTTACCTACCTACTTATTAAAATTTTTTTTCCTCTCGAGATCTACCCAAAAGGCACTCGCGATCGACCGTTTGAGCACCCCTGCACTAGCCCATCGATCCCTTATATATAATATGTGTAAACCTCCTTTATATAGTTGTGTAACATGAACAATAAATATAAAATTGAATTTCACAACAACAATGAATACCTCTGATAAAAAACCAATAATTAGATAGGTATCAAACAGTAATATCTTGTTTACTTGTCTATAACAGATAGCGCGGTATATATTTATAAATTCCCCACATTCAGTCTACATCATTGTTTGTTTGTTGTCCTCGGACTTTTTGAGCCCCACAACTGAATATTTTCAAATTACCTGCCCAGTATCAGGATACTTCTGTTGTTATTTTATTTACTAGCTATAGGTCATCGATGGTATACTCTGATAAGTAAATAGCGGACTATAAACATCAGAGAAAGGTTAACATAAGTACAAAATACAAGAAAGTAGAAAACATCTTTGACTCTTTCTGAAGGGTTTCTAAGACGCATCATGCAAGGAAAGATCAAAGGCAACAGAAACATTCTCCGAAGGAGGATTTCCTAGCTTCGAGAATTATATAATTGCAGCTTAGTAGAACTCTTCGGAACATCAGATTGGGCAGCTGTACTAGAATCCCAAAAAAGAAGACCATATCGAAGATGAGACTCCAACAAAGAAAAATATGTTAAGATTACGGACAGTTAAACAGGTTTGAAATAGGTAAAAGTTATCAATGGCAATATTTTTGAAATGTGTTTGCGGAGGCTGCAGTTTAATGAGCCGCATGAGGCCCCTCGTGCCTGAGGTTGGATCACACTGATTTACACATTCAATACCATCATGTAGTACAGAAAACATAGCATCGTTGGTACATTTATTAGATAAAAAGCCGAACTGACTTTGTGATAAAATTTTGTTTTCAACCAGGAAGGACATAAGTCGGACTTCTGTTCACTTTGGTTACGTATTCTATATCCTCCTTTGCAATTAACACATCCAAATATGATAGTCAGTTGTTTCCCTTTATTATTTTTAATTTTACCAATTTACAGAATATGTGCAGTACTTTAAAATGCAGGTGAATATAATGATATTATGTAAATTTAATGCGATTAAATTTTAAAAAATCAATAATTTATATCAGTACATCCAGCAATTAATACTATAACCAATTAACTGCGATATTTCATATTAATTAGAGAAATATGTACACTCACTCCATTGATCTATTCTATGTATTAATTACACAATATAGATTATACTAATGAGGATAGAGTTTAAAGCCGTGGATGAAAATGAAACGTGCCATGTTAATACATGTTATGCAGTGAAGTATTTGCCAGTTCAAAATTATCCAACAAAAACATTAATACTTGTAATAATGAGCTGAAACAAAACAGTCGTAATTGTTTACAGCAAATCGCAAAACTATAATCGTATACATGGCCGCTTGAAATTCAACAACACTGCGCAAAGTCCGCTGTTAACGATAAAAAACCATTGTTTGATAAAAAAAGTCCCAGTGTGCTTGAAACAATTTCATACGAATTTTCTCCGATTTTTTTTTTGTATAACGGTGTTTGTATACTGCTATCTGGTCACAAATGACCAATTATCACTTATTTTCTGACCTAACTTAATAAACAGCAGAAACTCTTTTTTATCTATCAACTAATGCACTTCAACTAACATGCAATAACATCACAGCACTATACTTTGCTTTTTACACTAACTCAAAATGGTTTTCTACTTATAAGTCCGCTCCTTAGTTCGGTGTTATCAAGAAGCTGGATTGCCTCGATATT